CTTTCCTGAGCGCAGTGTTGTTCGAGCTGAACTGTGCTGTACTCTTGCAGAGAGGTCCCAATGAAGGAGGCTAAGGAATATGCAGAATCCATTGCAGCCATTTTCATCGAGACCAGTGCCAGGAACGCAGTCAACGTCGAAGAGCTGTTCCAGAAGATCAGTAAGTGCTTTTTTTCAGAACAGTTTCACTATTAAAGCAAGGACCACTAGGACTCAAGAACAGCTTCTATCTCACTGCAGTACGCATCCTTAACAGCTAACCGCAGGGCCTCAATACACATCTGCACTGCGCACTTTTTGCATGGTCTGCTGAGTTTTTTTTTTTTTTGGTCTCCCTACTTCATATTTATTTTTCCACAACATATTTATTGTTCCTGTTGTCTACATTGTGTGGTGTTGTCTCTTTTACTGCGTATGTCCCGAGAGATCAGCACGATCAAGAATTCCAATGTACATGTACATTTGGCAATAAACTACTCTGCTCTGCTCTCTCTCTAAATATTTACTGGTACTTCTTATGTTTAAATAAGGTTAATAAAAACATTGACTCCAAACTTCTTTAAAAGTGACTTTTTCCTGGTGTAACTATCCCTGTGTATTTGATTATAACTCTTCAATAATTGTTATACTTCTGCATTTCAGGCCGGCGGATACCACCACTAGACCCTCAAGAGTTAGAGAATAACGAAGCCTTTAAACTCACTAGACAGCCACCGCCTTCAAATAAACGCTGTTGCTAATGAAGGAGGGGAAGAATAAAGCATCACCTAGGCGTTGTTGCAGTTCCTACAACATGATTCCATGACAGCAAGCTGAAATCAATACCTTGGATTACTTCAACAACGGAAAGGAATGCAGTCAAATTTAGACAAGAAAGTCACAGAAGTGTAGGAGAAGACCTGGCATTAGGTTTCACCTATTTTTAAAAACAAAACTTGTTTTTGAAATAGTATTTTATCAGATCTTCTCAGTTGACGTCGTTTTTTTTCTTCTTGAAAATGAGAATCACTCTCCGATTAACTCAGTCCTAAGAAGTTGTTTTAGAAAAGACCAGTAGTATTGAGATGCGTTTCCAGGGATTGATCTGAATGAATGAACGGTAGAAATCCGCACACCTTTTCTCTTCGCAGCCAGAGTCCTGTAGCAAAGCTGTGCTGATGAAACTGTAATTGTGGAACATCAAAACGTCTGTGAGTGCATATTTCTTTGGAACCTCACAAGAACTAAAATTCGGAAAGTACTTATGGTATATGGTTGTCAGAGTTTTATAGTGCAACATATGGTAACCAGGATTTTTCACACTTTGCAAATACACTTTACACTGTTACACTTTCATATTTTTAGGTGACCAAAAATATTTTTAACAGCAGGTAATTTCTAATTTGGTTTACTATGATTTTGTCTTTGCCTTGTGATATGTATTACCTACTATAGTTAAAATGGTTTAGCTAAGGTTTTAAGGATTTTTGTTTCGCTGTAATAAAAAACTACAAGATAAAAGAATAAAAGTAGAATTTTAGAAACTACTCTCCAATACTTCAATAGCTACAGTTACACAAACAACTTGAGTTAGAGATATGTGACTGGCCGTGCTTAATTAACCTTTTTTTATTCTCAAACAGAAGAGACTACTTTATACAATAATTTTAATCCCTCATGCTCTGCAAATATACTGCACTTCCCTCCAGATGATAGTATGTGTTTGTAACTGCTGTATGATACTTTCAGACCATGGTTTGACTGCTAGTATTTGGGTATAGCAGCACCACTGTGTTCAATGCCTCCCATCCATTGTTAAAGTATTCTGTGTTGGATTGAGTCTGGCAACATATTGCTGGTTTAGCAGGTGGGAAGATTATTCCATTTTAAAGTGATTTATTTGTCCTGTCAGTTTTATAAAAAGGAGATGAAAATGAAAGTTCCTAAACTAAGTGTTTACAAAAGATTAAAAACCGTGAACCAGGGCTAACAGTATTTGACTTGAATACTTTGAGAAAACTAATCTGAAAACGTGGTCCTCTGTAGTTTCGCAGGTGATATCCAATAGCAAAGACAAATGCTCCCATCTAGTGCTGAAAGCCACCCATCTCAGGAGGGAAGATGTGGAAGTAGCATAAGAATATCCTGCTGGCAGGATCTCTAACAGTAAGACAAGCAAATCATCTTTACATACACAGTAGAGTGTTTGATGCTGCTGGTGGGTCATTTTCATGCTTTTTTATTTTAGTAATGTTAATCATTTTGTCAGACTGTAAATGTTCTCCATAACCCCTTCGTTTCTAGCGGGATGTGTGTTCGCATAGTGAATACTTTATTTATAGAGAGATGGAAAGAAACCTTCAGGACAAAGTCCCTCGCCCCCTCAGGCTTCAGTATGAGTTTACTGGCTGCTAATGTACGACTTACTACTGCTTGGGTGTGCCTACTGGTGTGACTGGAGGAGGGGGTTAGTACACCACATCCTCTTATTTAGGGAGTTTAGTGCAGGTAACTAAAATAGCCAGGTGGCTTGCCAAGACTTGTGAATGATATCGAGACGGTCCATTCCTGTCTCTGCATTTCTACAAGGCGTGATAGTGCAAGCATTTAGGACCCAGTGAATCAGTACATTTCCAGTTGTGATAAAAAGAGATGAGCACATGAAAACAACTGGTGAATCATAAAACACAATCAAATATTAATTTCATTAATTGTAGTTAAACACGAGCATATAATTCTGTAGGCATCAGTTAACTTCATTAATTGATTGTAGGAATACACCATTTTTGGGACAGCAAGGTAACATGGGAAGATGCCATAACGGTAGCATGTTATATTACATTTCTTGCTTTCGTAGTTTATAAAATTGGCTTTTGAATGTTTTCTTGCGTTCTAGATAGTTTTATGTTTATCTTGCCTTCTGAAATATCCCAGTGGATATTAATTATAATTACCTACGAGCAAAGAATACAGCGCCTTATTTACTCTTACTTGTCTGTTGAAAATGCCTGGTGTGAAGAGAACATGACTAGACTAGTGACTAGTAATCTTCACTGTCTTTGCTGCACAGTTTTCTGAGAAGTCAGAGCTAAGCATACTTGTTCTCTTCATCACAGAATACAGGAAAATCAAGAGCCAACCCCCCTCCCAAAAAAAAAGCTAGTGAAAACGACACCAGTTGAGTATTTTAAAGACAATACTGTAGCTGCAGCACTTTTTCAAACCAAACGAAAACAATTGAGCTTCTGGATCTATCACAGTAGCTCCATTGACCCGGTCACATTCACTCACTGTTTTGATGACATTAATGAGGAATTCAGAAGTGTCCATTGTGAACACTGTGGGCTTCTGAAAGGTGGTCATCTTCAAAATTATTGGATGTTTTCTTAACTAATAATAAGTATTCACAAGAACACCTAGTTAATAAAGCTGTCTTGACTGCTTAAATATGCTTCTGGTACTGATTCTGGATTGTCAGTATATTTAAGGCTTTCCACTTTTCAGGAATTCATCTACTCCAAGGAGTCCTCTAGTGGGAATGAGGGGTTGTTTCTTGTGCAGTCGTGTCCTTTTTTCTCATGGAGAGGACTAGGCGAAATATCTTTCATTTTGTCGCAATGTATTCTTAGGTATGGGCTGGTTCCACACAAAATAATGTGCATGTGTCATTCAACTAAACTAATCTGAGTGTATTATCATGTCGTTAGAATAGCCATATATATTATCTGTACATAGCATATTAACATTTTATATTAATCTGTATATGACAATAAACATCCATAATGTTTGAAGTTTTGGCTTCATTTTTCTTTGTTTATATACATTGCATAGAGTTGTTATGTAATGGGTAGTGTTTTAACAAAAGAAGAAATGCAGAAGTCAGAGGTCACTGAGTGTAGGTGACAGTTAAATATGACATTGGATGTTTAGTCAGTCCTGACAGCAGTTGAGTTTACACATTGTTTAAACATTGCTGATCGGGCAATAACAAATGAGGTTGTGTGGTTTCTTTAATTGTAGGTGAACAGTTTGGGTTTTTTTTTGGCGGTTTTTAAAAAATCGTCACACAAACTATTACTTAAAATTACTTTTCAATTGCAATCTGCTTAATTCACAGCTGCTTCTGACCTCCACTGGATCCCTCATACTGACCACCCTAATGCATGGAGACGTGGCCAGAAGTGAGACTGATGTTTTCATAAAATAGCTCGTCCACCACAGCCTACCCTCTACAACGATGCTAAGAAAGAGAAAACTTTCGATCCCTTATTAAAATGCATCCAAGTAGTCCCTCAGAGAAATGTACCATGGGTAACAAACTCTGCCCAGACGTTTTGATAAGGAAACTTAAAATTGTTCCACAGAAAAATCAGAGCTCCTTCCCCTTACAATGGTGGTGAGTGGCCAGGACCCTGAGTTTACCAGAGAGGTAACCAGCAGAGGAGAATGGCTTTAAGTGCTGTGTCTCACTCTCCTATCTTGTCTTTTATTTTCTTCTGCTGTAGTCTCCCTTTAAGTATGTTACACATGGTCACTTGAGCTGCTGCTCATCTTTCAGAACGATTCTGCCCCCTCTGTTGAGGAGTTTCCAACCTGACCAGCTGTGGAAACACCAGGTCTCCAGTCAGACGCCACCTGCTGACCTGACTCGATGTCCCTTTAGCTTGGAGGCCACTTGTTTATGTGACCAAGAGCCCCAGCTGGCCAATCATCTCCTCAGACACAGCCCTCCTCGGGCAGCCAAGGGGTACATGAAAACGACAAGTCTGCAAATTGGTAAACTGGACACCCCAGGAATTTAAATCTGAGGGCAGGAATGAACATCAGGGTTAAGATGGTCAATTGTCAGCATTTTCAACATCCTTAGCAGGAATTCTCCCCGAGGAAATTTAATTCTAATAAAGGGATGGTTGTAACCCTGAACTTGAAATGTGTATTTCCACTTGATTCCCCCTGTAGAAGCTGTGAGCTTCCATGTGCTTTGTAGGTGGGGCAGGGATGCGAGCCAGCTCGAGTGAGAACTAAACACGCTTCCTTCTGTTAATGAACAGTGAAGCAAAGAAATGAAAATCACCAACGATTCAATCGATCTACGTTAACTTCGCCCTCAACACACAACATGAAAAAAAGGATGCTGTTCTGAAAATGAGCATTTCCCCCTCGGAGATGTCTTAAGTATTCCGCCCCTGGTCAGGTGATGAGTGTTGTCGCTAGGAGCAGCGCGTGGCGGATGTTGACGGCGTATGGGAAGGGGTCAGTGACGAGGCGCTCTGGGGTGTGGGGAGGTTTGAGAGAACCTGCTCAGTAACATCTGCAGAGGAATCCAGCTCTTTTTCCAGCCCGCCCCATATCACATATCGCCAGCTGCTAAAATCCTGTTTTTTTCATTTGTGAATGCTTTCCAACGTTTACTGAAACCTATCATATACGGTAAAAAGGCATTGATCCATGTAATACAAAATGCCTTCAAGTACTCAAATTATAGGCAGAGTTTGTGTGAGGAGATGTGTGATGCTGATGTGAAATGTTGTGTGATACTTTATGATGAGGGCCGGTGGTACTGTGCATTAAGTAAAGGTTTGTTCCATGCTGAAAAGAACAATACAAATAACATTTCAGCTGTGGAGCCTTCTTCAGGTGTGCAGGAGCCTTCTCTTTTCAGCTTAGAATAAACCTTTAACTGTGCCTGCCTTTGCAGCCTGCACATGCTGAAGCAGCTCTCTCTCATGTATCTCGTCCTGTTGTTTCGAAAGCTCGTTTTACATGATACGTGGCAAAACTGGCTCAGTGTTCAAGACAAAGTAAAGGAGTAAAAAAAAGGAGAAGTTAAAAAGTTAAACATTTATTAAAATATTTAAATAATCCTCTTCTGCTTTGTTAGCTGTACTGTGAATGTCTTCTGCTTTGTTAGCTGTATGAGGAATCAATTATATTACCAGAAATGTCACCTCAGACAGGACTGTGCCAGTGGGAATTCTGCCTGTGTGCTGCAGTTCAGTCTGTGGTACCGGGACTCACATTTATAACCAAGTCGTTTTTCACACTTTGGAGGCCTAAATGCATTAAAATTTAACCCTGGAAAACAAAAATATGATATCAATGAACTTGCACTGACAGCAATATAACGTAAAATAACTGAAGGGCCATGGAAAACGTAACTTTATATACAGACTGCGATTCATTTCACAGCTTTGAAAAATCATATTATAATCATGTATTATGATTATAATAATGTAATTGATCATTTTGTACTAAATGCTTTCATCTGTAATACATGATTAGCATTATATGCTCAATTTACCCTATTTCCTTAATTGTTTCCAATCCTGAATGTCTTATAATATCTTACTATTAGCTTCCTTAATTTCACCACGCTGAAGTGTCACAACAGCGGAACCGCATCTTTCTGGCTCATTGTTTAAATTGTCTGGATGGACTGGAACTAACAGCAAATTTTTGGAGTAGTACACGTGACTGCGGAGCTCTATAAATCTAGTTGACCGCTGGCATTCTTAACGTCTGCAAAGGGTACTGATTCAGAGGGGAGAATCACAATCCACAGACAGACGAATTGTTCACTGAGTTTATTCTCTGGGTGATTAATCTCTGTCTTGTGTTAAGAGACCTGCATTCCTTAACTTCTCACAAACCTTTCGCTACTGCTCTCAACAGCCCTGACTACTGGCTGCAGGAAGCTTTTACAAGGAAGCTTCGGTCCTGTAGAGTTCTGGCTGGTGTTAGAGAAATAACTCCACACTTTATGAGCATCACGCAGTGCAAAAGGCGTGAAAACTAAAACGTAAAAGATGAGAAAGGAAATACAAAAAGTGTATGCCACTGAATATTTGATGTACGTCTTTCAGCAAAGATATGTAACATTATAAGAAAAACCAGTAGACACCAGCAGGAAGGTATGTGCAAATTGTCATTGCTTTTATTTGTGGGCTGAGACAGGTACACCCTTCCATGTAATTTGACTCTCAATAATAGTATTGTGTAGTATTATAGGAACAAAAATATCCAATGATGTGCAGAAAGGTAAGTAGTATTGTACTCATCTGTGTTAATAATAGAAGTAGCAGCAGTGGTAAAACTACTGAACATTACATATAGTTCATAATTAGGACTGAGATTTCTGTGACACATTTTGAAGGTGCTAATTTGATACTGACAGCTGAACTACTGCATGAATCTGTGTCAATTAGCAATGTGTAGGAGTAAATTAAAAGCAGAACTACCTGCCAGTTTATTTTAAACAACTTTTGGCTGCAACAATTTGAGGACACAGATACCACAGACAAGTGTCCCTTGACAGCCTGACAGTAGGCTTTGTAAAGCTGTTAACCTGCCCTGCGGATCTTGTATACACATGTGGAAGAGAGTTTAATGAAAAGTGTCTCAACTCAAGAATACCTGGATCTTAAAACTCTTTCAGTTATCTTTGAACAGTCAGTGCAGCTCTATTATGGCTCCATATCATTAAAATAAAATTCAGATATTTCTAATAATTCAGAATTCAGGTAAAGTTTAAAATGGGGTAGATACCTGGCAGATGATCTTTCAAACAGACAAATGTAAAATATTACATGCAAATACCAAAACTATAAATCATAAATACATAATGGGAAATGCTCAGTTTGAAGAGGCTATAAAATTGTGTGCAGTGTATTATTATGAAATATACATTATTTTGTTATTAATCACAAACAGTCTTTCTTTTTCTGTAATACTACAGCCCAGTTTAAATGTGTTAAAGTCGGGTGTACACTGGCATAGATGATGTATAGGAAACAGTGATTTTGCTTTGCAGATCTTTATTTTGTTTTTCCTCAAAATAAATCTAAAGACGTGTGTGTTTACCTCACACACAGACAGTGCAGCTGCTTCAGGCTGCTGTGGAAGAGTGAAGGAATCGCCACCTGACCCCCGAGTCCGAGCAACATCTGTTGCACCAACAAAAAGAAGGGAGCAAAGTTGTACCCCTTCATGTTTTCTGACTTTGAAAACCTTTGTTGATCTTAGCTGGACTGAAAGAGGATTTCCGACACTTTGTTCCCTTTGCTCAAACTGACGACCACTGCAGGGAGCAGTCTGTGAAACACAAAGAACGTTTCCTCTTAACTGGAGTAAAACTGTCACCACACGAATTTCACTTTAGTTGCTTCACATTTACTCTGGTTATTGTGAAAGCCATTTGAGGATTTTCTCTATTTTTTTAAAAGTTAAGGGAACCACCAAGACAAAGCAAAACAAAAATGCAAGTAAAAACCAGGAGTTCATAAATAAACATGAGAACATTAAAAAGGTTCCCTACAAGAGGACGTCTTTCAGTCCAGTGAGCTTGTTTGACTGCTAGTTGCCAACAGATCCAAGGATCTCATCCAGCTGCTGTTTGGAAGAAAACAGGGTATCACTTTCAAGAATATGGCTGAATATTTTGTTCCACTCTTCCATAAAACTTTGTCTCCCATTCTCCCTCTTTTAAGGTACCTCCCCATAGTTTCTATCTGTATCCTCTTGTTCGTGTTTCACTGATGATCCTGAAGAAGCCCACTGGATTTTCGTCTGTGGATTTGCATAATCGAATAACCTTCAAAGAACGCAGAGCTCAGCAAGTTTGTTAAGGAAAATCTACCTTCTTTAAAACCATTCTGACTATTCAGTAAAACAGTACTGGCTCACACGTCTTCTTGTTTAGGAATAGAGCCACAGTAACTCATTGGGCCAGAGGTTGTCTTTGTTTCCTTAGTGTTAGCTGGACGAGAGAACAAATTATTTTCTGCTTGGAGGGGACACTGTTTCACAAGGTTTAACCCCCAGCAATATTGGTCTCTATTTACATAGCTGGGGGGACTGGAGCAACTGGAGTAAAGCACCTCAGTCAAGGTACAACAGCCCTGTCTTCAGCAGTGACTCGAAGCCAAAACCTGCCGGTCATGGGACCTATGCTATACCACCACAGTCCCAGACTCCATGTTGAAAAGAAAAAAGAAAAACAAAAAATTGACTGCTGAGCCTACTCCAGGTGTGAGTGTGAAAGAGGAAGGCAGCAGGGATACAGAGCACTGAAGAATCAAGGAGACAGCAGGGTGTGAGAAAGACAGAGGTGGCCACTCCGCCTCCCCTACACTCTCTATATAACCCCTTCTGACTCCCCTGTCTTTCTCACACCTCCACCTCCTCTCTGGAATAAACCTTTAACTTCTTCCTTAATGCTAATTATGTTGACATAACCTTCCATGTACAACAACAGCATGTGATTTCTTTATACTTTATATCATTTCCTCACTTACTTTTGTGACATAGATAGTATCTTAAATGGTTCAAATACTGCAACACTTCCTCTTCTGTAGGAGTTCTGTTTAATACAGTTTCTTCCAGTATCCTCATAAACTGTGTCCCCTTCACTATACTGGGGCATTAGGACCCACATGAGCCACAGGGTGAGCGCCCCCTGCTGCTCCCACTGATACCTCTTCCAGCAGCAGCCTTAGTGTTTCCCAGGAGGTCTCCTCTCCAGGTACTGGCCAGGCTCACACCTGCTGAGCTTCAGTGGGCTGCCAGCAGTGAGCTGCAGGGTGATACAGCTGTTGGCCCCAACACTCAGGCGATTAGGTGAAGAATCACTTTAACAGTCGTTAGGGAGGCCATGTTATGGATGTCCAGGGTGAAATTCGGCCAAGTCTTAACTCTGCTTTTATGAAGAGTGTCATGGGATCTTTAATGACCACAAGTAGTGAGGACTTTTCTCATGTGTAGGGGGTTTCCTCTGACATATCAGCGTCACTGGGCACCATACTCAGGAACTTGTTTGGAAATCCTAACCCAGGAGGGAGAAAGCCACTTAGATTAGAAACCTGCTTTCCCTTAGAGGACCCTGTCCTGACCAGGCCCAACTATGCTTAGCTTCTGGGATCTGTGGTGGTTAGGTTACAGGCATCACTGCCGCATTGTACATAAAGGAGGGCCAGTGTCATAAAGCGATTTTAACCCGGGACACATACCGAATGGCCATCATTACAATATATGAAGGCATGTGGCTGCCGAGGGCGTCTGCACTGCGCTGCAGCTGAGCAGCCCTTCAAAGGGGAAGCGCGTCCCCGGGCTGCGCGTGCTCGTGCGCTCGCCCCCGCCGCCCAGTGACTCAGTGCTGCTCTCGGGGTTTTTTTTTTCGCTCTCGCAGCGGCAGCTCGGCACCGCCATCACCGGAATTCCCCAGCAAAAATGTCCAAGCAGGAGCAGATCCTAATCCTCGATCCACCAAACGATCTCAAATTCAAAGGTAAGGACCCATCGTCGTGGCGGGGCGGGGGAGCCGGGTTTCGCAGCCGCCCCGGAGTACCCAAATCGGGGGATAATTTCGCTCCCCCCCCCCCTCCGGTTACTCGGGGTAAACTGCCCGCCGCCATTTTGAGGAAGGGAGTCGGAGTTGGTGGGCCGCGGCGGATCCGCGGTCTCCCGTGAGCCGCGCAGCCGGCAGGCGAGAGGGCTCTCGCCGCAGCGCAGCTGGCTGAGCTGCGCCCGTCGCCACGTCGGCTTCCCTTGGCAAGCACGCCCGGCCGGAGTGTGATTGTAGCCGCGGTGAGAGGGGTCGGGGTGTCGGTGGTGTGGATGTGTCAGGCCCGGGCGTTGCAGGTGAGCTCCGGCAGCGATGGACTGAGCCGCCGGTGTGTGATTTTTGTGTTGTCTGTATTATTATTTTTTTTGCTACGTGGACTAGCGACGCGACAGACGGCTTGAGAGAAAGAGCAGGGATTTTTGTGCCCGAAACAGCTTTGAATCGTGGTGGCGGCGGCACTCCTTTGCAGGAATAAGACTCAATCTAAGGGTCCAGGAGATTGCATTTCACGGTTTTAGTGCGATTTATTTTGGGGAAGCGGTGCGGAGCATTGCGTTCCTGGGTGTTGAATGAATCCAACTTGTGCGTTTGCAATCGCAGGCAAAGCTTTAGAAAGCGGCAAGCGGAGATATTGATATTGTTTCGGACACTTTGCTCCAGATTCGCCTGGTCTTCCTTGTCTTTGTAAGTGAAAGTCGCTTATCAGTGAGAAGCAGGGGACGAGAAATGGCAAAGACGAAGACATCCACGTGCCAGAAAAAAAAGTAAACATTTCTGCAGTGTGATACGCGGATGTAATGGACAAAGGTGGAAACTGCCCTGAATCTGATCTCACGAACAGGGAATCACGGTTGTGAAATCTGTGCATTAATCTAAACAGTGAGCCGATAAACTGCATGGCTGCCGTTGTGCAGGAATTTTCGGAGGAGCGTTTTTCAACAATGAATGCACAAGGACATATGACAAGTCGGGAAGGAAACGAGGCCTCTCCGCAACTTTATCTGGCACGGGTGCTGGGTGATCGATCCCCCTTCACCCAAGGAGGATGGAATCTGAGGCGAGAACACGTTGTAATGTTTTTAATCGAAACCAGAATGTTGTGAAAGAGAGATTAAAAGGTGCACATAGTCAAAGTGAAGTTACTGCACTGCTTTCTTGGATCGAAATCATCCCCAGCTCTGCAGAGCAGGTAAATTCAAGCTGGATTCGACTTCCTTATTCTGGACGGCGACCAGCTAGAGACTGTGAGACTGTTGCCTGTGATGGCATGTGTCTTCTGAAGAATATCCCGGACATTGTAAAACTCCGAGGTCAGGAGACCTTCCTGGCTACTCCACCTTCATGATAACTCTGTTGTTGTTTTTTTCAAGGAAGTTGTTTGGTTTAGGGAGCGTGAATGGGATTTTTCACCCATTCATTTCCCATCCAGGATTGAGGCAGAGCCAGAGCCAAGCCCAGCAATCAGTGAGCCCAAGGCAGGGTACGTCCTGGATGGGACGTCAGTCAGCACAGGGCACACAAACGCGCACACACACGCACTCACTCACACCAGGGTCAGTTTTCCTATAAGCCAGTTAATTTAACAGTGTGTCTTTGGACGATGGGAGGAAGCCTACGCCACCATGGGGAGAACAGACAAGCTCCACACTGATGGCCCTCTGGCCCCAGCCCTGCGGAGCAACAATACTGACCCCTGAACCACCTACGCCGCCCAGCGTAATTACCATGGTATTATTACACAGAATTGGGCCAGCAAGTGCTCCGTTGAATATTAGATGGGAGGCCCTTCTGCATGTAAGAGGAGTTGCAGGGCAAGTGGAGGAGTTGTGGTGATTTGCCTTATTCAGGATGATAGCTTACCACCTTGTTACACTAGCTAGCACATGAAGTCTTCTTCTGACAGCAGAGCTTGACATCAGATTCTCTGACTTTTAGGAGATGTGAACAACCTGATGTTGCTTGCATTTTTGAGGTAATTGCTCCTTTTTTGTTTCCAAGACAGGCTTCTAGCTCTGGGGCACTCTGATACATCTCTGCAGTGTCGGCCTGTATCGTGTGCAGTGCCCCAATAAGGGAAACAAGGCTTTTGTTGGGTGGTGTGGCCAGTGTAGCTCTCCTTGCCCCTGCCTGGGTTCGAGCACCTGCGACTCCACTCTCTAGACAGCGGGTACTTGCGCCTAGCTTAAAGACCAGGTCTCTGCCTCTAGCTGTCAGTCCAGCTTCCAGAGGGGGTGAAGTCGAACTTGCGTCAGTGCACCGAGCCCTGTCACAGTAGCAGTAACCGTGTTACACGGTATTTCGATGCAGTTCAGATTTAATGGGGCTGTAGGCTCTGGTACAGACTGAACTGAAGGAACAGGATATGCAGGCTGTATATTTAACTTTGAATGTCTGTCTAAAATTACGTAGTTTAAAGCAAGAAACATGAGACATCCAGCACCTGGTATTGACTAACGCAAGAGCTTACTGTAAAACCTGAAATGCGTCAAGTGGCGTGGTGGTGGGAGTCTCGCGTCTGTTTTTCTTGTTGAAGACCTCTTGCCCCTGTGAACATCTGCATCTCCTTGGAATTGGACGCAGAATGTTGGATCACGCTTTGTCAGACGCCAGGGTGTGTGTCACATACTTTTTTTGAATGGCCTTCCTGCAACTTAACACAAAGGGACAGCCAAGGTGCTTTTGGCAAGCTCTGGTAGCAGATCGCTAGGTGCATCTGCTATGATGGGCGACTGCACACACTGAATTCATTCAGGACGCGTGTAATCACCTGGTGCTGCTGGCTAGGATAGACTCCGTCTCCCCTACGACGCTCTGTTGGATAAAGTGGGCAGACAATGGAGGGGTGGTTTCACTTGGATTGGCGTAGGACTACTGTCACTTACATCCTGTGCTCAGTTATATCACTGTCAGTTGTATATAGAACTCATTGTTGTTGCTCACACTTATTTAATACTCTGTACTTGATGTTTTTTATTATCTTTCTTTTTTGTGATGGCCGGACAGGAGTGGAGTTTGTTTGCCAGATGTGCTTGACTCTGAGAGTGAACGGCATAGGACTGTCGGTGAACTGATCGGGAGGCCAAAGGAATTGGTCCGGGTTTGACACTGCTGCTGTTCATGGCCCCAGAGCTGAGATTTTCTGCTGTGCTACTTGGTGCAAGAAGTTATGTGACGTAACTTGGTGTGGCCGTGCCTGCCTCACGGGTCCCAGTCGGATTTTGCTGAGATTTACTTACATTTAGAGCGGACCAATGCTTACCTATTTAAAGTTAGTTATACTCGGCTAAGCATTTCATTCATTTACTATTTGCATAATTAAAGGTATGTAATATGCCCATCAATTTTCTAATTGCATCTTCCAGTGAAGGGCGGTGGAAGAGCTGGAGCCTATCCCAGCGAGCAAGGGGTGCAAGGCAGGGTACACCCAGGGAGGGATGCGAGACCATCGCGGTGCACACACAGACACACACACTCACCAGGGCCAGCCATTAACCTACCAGTAAGTCTTTGGACTGTGGGAGGAAACCCCCGTGAACACAGGGAGAGCATGCAAACTCCACACAGACAGCACCCCAGGGCTGGATTTGAACCCGGGGCTGCAGCGCTGCCAGGCAGCAATGCTGACCACTGCTGCTCTGGTCTGCCTGTATGTCACGCGGATGAGTTTCTTTTTAAAGTTATACTGGTCCTTCTGTGTCCTGCGCTCGTTGGCTGCTGGGATAGGATCTGGCTCCCCCACAGCCCTGAGTCGGAAAACGCAGTTAGAAGATGGAT